TTCACGTCCGTGTCCATGTTGACCTTCGCTGTGATTTGCCGGGCCCGTCTGCCTACCGCAAACTCTCTATAATCTCAGCTACCGCCACCTTGCTCCGTCTTTTCTGTTTATTTTTAATGAAAGACCACCGTTTGGCGCCCAGTGTCAGCGATGCAAGCTCGAGCTTTCTGCTTTCTTCAGCTACAGCTTCAATTCGATCTACCGATTTCACCAGAATTCAACAGAACAGCACAAAATTATCTGTTCTCAGCCTCCGCCTCATTTATAATACCTACCTGCTGAGATTCCTGCCCGATAACTGTTTCCAGGAGTTTCACAGTCATCCGCAGAGCCTGGGGTGGATCAGACCCTATTAGCTGCTCTTATAAATACTGTATTTATGTTTATTTGTTGTGATTTTCGACCGTTGAATTAATTTTATTCGATCGTCAACGAATTCGGTGTTTTGGTGACTTTGATAAAATTAGAAAAGAAAATTTTGAAAGAATGTTTATAAAAAATTGAGAATTAAATAAATTATAGAGCTCTTAACATTTTCTTATATGAAAAAAAAATTAACTTGATTCGAGAGGAAAATTCTTGAGCCGAGAAAATTATTTTTAAGGGGGTAATTATGTTGAATCAAGACGAAAAATTCTTGAATCTTTTCAATTTCTTAGCTTAAGAATTTTTTTACTCAAATCAACAAGATGAAGTTCCTCAAATTTATATACTTGATTCAAGAACATTTTTTATTCTGTGTATAAAATTTTTCAAGTTGTTTCACTAATATGAAAGAATTAAAAATAATTTTTTTTTTTTTAGTTACAGGATTTTTTTTCGGCGAAGCTCTGCCATCTTGAAAAAATCGATTTAGTCTTTTCCCACGGCTGCTCATTTTATTCAGAAAAAGACGACAGTTTTGAGAGTGACATCAAGTTTTGGATCAAAAATTCCTGGATCAACTTCTTGAAATTTACAGCTTACTAATAGTTACTTTTAAATTAAAACTAATACTTACTTTTAAATTAAAATTTAAATTACTTTGTCTTAAATCTTTTATTTAAAAAAATTATGTCGAATTTTTATTTCTTTTTTAGTGGATTAAAAATAAAAATTTTTCAAAAGAAACATTTTATTAGATTAATTTTATTAAAGGATTAGAAAAAAATTTCCTTATATTAATTATGTAAAAATAAAAAATCGCATCTAATGTAAAATCTTGACTGAAAAAAAATGATTTTTTTGGATCGTCTAATATATATCGACAGTTATGTATCTGATATAAGGCCGTTTTGTATACGTAATTAACAACTACAGGACCATAATATCCACGGATGCATGACATGACTGAATTCACGATAATCCTGTGTGGTATTCGTTAAAAAAGTTTGAAAAAAATAATTCACGTGGGCGTGACTCTTGTAATCCGAACGTCGGCTACTAAATTGTTTATATATGTATATTCTTATAAATACATTATTTCTAAAGTCATGCAAAAACGTGGGCTGATTCAGTGTTGTAAATTCACGGATTTTTATCCTCAGTGGTTTAATATCGTATTTATATTTATACTTTTATAAAATATATGTAATATTTTGCTGGTAAAGTCTGAGTGATTCTTTTGATATGGTAAATGTGTGAGAAGTAAGCGATAAAAAATAAAAAAGAAACCCGGGCGATGCAACACGTGGATTGAACAAGGTAGTAGTCAGTCTCGACTCCAACAGATGGGAGAACGAGAACGAGAATAAGTATGTGGGTTAGGCTTAGGGCTAGGATTCGGTTCTTGTAGTAATTTGTTAAATAAAATCACCCTTAATTTAAGTTTATAACATATATATTTATTTGAGCTTTAATTGCATTTTAAAATACAACCGAAATAATTAAATAATTACAATTCTGGTAAAATGGTTTCAAGAGATTTTTGCGTATACATGTGCATATCTTTGTAGACTCGTGAGTCGTATCAATTAATTTCGAGATTTTAAGTTTTATAATTAATAAACATCTGAGAGCGTATCCTTAGATTTGTATACTTTTGTAATTTTTATTTTTTATTATTAATTAAATGAATTTTTAATATTTCACTGGTATTATTATTTATTTATTTATTTTTTTTTTTTTTTTTTTTTTCTTTAAGTATTTAGTGTTTCGCTGGATGCCATCGAACCTCGTATAGTAACTTGCTCACGAAAGAACAAAAATTATCACTCATTCTATCTTTCTCTCTCACTCACTCTCAGCAGTCGTATATAATTACAATAATAATAATTAATATTAATTATTATATTGATAAATACTTTAAAAGTCCGCGATGGAAGAATTATTACAGTTTACAAGGAATACGTATACAAGTGTTTGTTATTTTATTATTTAATATTATTTTCTCTATATCTTTGCCCGAAGTAATCGGTATTTACCATACAATATAATTATTTTCCAGCATATTATGTCGACTATTTAAAAACCATCATCAACACTCATCCTTTCGCACTCAAACATATTTACCTAACTTTTAAGTTTTTCTACATTGCTGCTCTATTAATTTAATATAATTCCATTCACGCATCCACCCACACCCTTTTCACCCAATATCACTGTTCGGCATATAATAATTATTTACCATCATTTACTTTATTAATAATTAATCATTAATAATCAATTAATCATTTATTTATATGTATCTTTATCGTTAATAATTATAATAATAATGATCATAAAAATAATTATAATAGTAATAATAATTAAAATTTGTGTTGAATCAATATACACAGTATTAATAATACGAATGATAATAATGACAATATTTTACATATAATGACACGAGTCGGCTCGATTGGCGCAATAAATACATTTTTTTAAACAAATAAAATTTACAATGGTTCCATACACGAGTGCCCTGGGCTTAAAAAAATTCATTATTATTAATATAACTAATAATTATAATTATAATAATACAATATAATATATAATATGTAATCGGCGGATAGCCTTAATAAACATCTAATCGCGACAATAAACCGTCACAGCGTATTGCACCGTGCGCTCATCTTTTCTTTTTACACTGATAGAAAAATTTATTTTTATTTTATTCATTTTTTATTAATAATTCAATTTGTATTGAAAAAATCGGATAATTACTTTCCAATTTTTGAAAATTTTTTATTTTTTTAGCCGGAAGTTTAAAAATTTATTATTTCAAGCGGCACAAATAAATTTACTATTTAGATGATTTTTTTAACAAAAAGTAAAAAATTAATAATTATTAACTTCAATTCAATAAAACAATTTAACGCATGGTATACATTTTTTTTTATGGAACAATAAAAATTGTAAAAAGAAAACATAATGAACAACGAAGAGAACATTGTTTTTTAATAAACTCTATCAGTGTATTAAATATTTTTACAAAACAACGCTCAGTTTTATCGTTCTTCATACAAGATCTTCATACAAAGGCGCTACTGCTAATTACAGCTAATAAACCTACTCTTAATCTAAGGTGGTATACATGACGGTCATTCGACGTGATAATTATTCTCGAAATTGAATATTTTTATTTTTAATAATAATTATTTTTATTTACTGTTTTTGACATTTTATTTTGACTTACTCGAGTCGAGCATTAATTGCTTAAGTATTTTATTATAAACATCACAAACTTGGCCGCTGAGCCTGTTTTCGGTGTCATATGTTATTATCGTGTGTAAATATGTGTGTATGTGTGCATGTGTGTGGCTCAGCATTGCCGCGAGATATGGTGGCATCACAATTAATTAACGCACTTGAAACTTATCGAACACGCACACATTATTATACACATCCTGAGTCTTTAGTCCGAACCGTCGTCGTCACAAGTCGCGTTTAAGTATACATTGTTATTGTAGTTGCAATTATAATTATTATTGTAGCTGTAATTTTTATTGTAACTATAAGTAGATAATAGTAATAAGTGATAATGATAGTAATAATAATGATAATGAAATAAAAAACTAACTGTATCAGTCACATCGGTGGTCATTCGTTGAATTAAAAGTCTTCACTAAAATTTATCGATTTCCATCCTCGATACTACGGATTTTATCCTAATTAATAGTTTTTTTTTTTTTTATTTTTTAATCGAACCTAAGTACAGGTAATACTTTTTTGTTTTTATTGACATTTATTTAGTTGGATCCGAGTGACTATATATTTGTGACAAAATTTTATCGAAGAATTTCATTTTTATTATAGAACTTTTCATGATTAAATCATTTATTTTTTCTTTGAAAAAATAGAGTATCTAAAACAACTTTTTTTTTTTATGGAAATTAAGTTTTTTTCAATTAATTAATAAATAAGATTTTGATTATTTAAATTTCCAAAAGAATATTATTAAAAAAAAAATAAACTTTTTAAAAAAGCTTTTTTGTCACAGATATCAAATTACCAAGCGATCCAGCTAAGCTGATTATTGATGAATTTTAAGAAGAAAATTGCGAGGACGGAGAAAATCATTAAATATATATAATGATAATAATTGTAAAATAATGACAGTAGAAAAGATGAGCGCACTAAAAAACTACCCTAGCCGGTCTTTTTTTCCCGATAAAAAATTTTTCCAGGAAAAAAAAAATTCTAGCAATTCGTACGCGACAGTAAGGAATGACAAGACTCGACGCGAGTTACGTAGCATCTGAAGAGAGACTCTGTGGAAAGCCAAATTATCATCTATTTATATTTATATTTATATTTATAATAATAAGATTTTTAAAAATAGTTTATGATAGTCTCGTTGTGACAACAATGCAACGATTCAACGTGACGTATCTCGAGTCAGTCTTAAGATGAGTCGTATAACGCGCGAAAATATTTAAAACAGGACAGGGAGACGTACTGCCTATCTAATACATCATATTACTTTTATTTTAATTTAGATTTTTATTTAATAATATTAAAACGTGACCACGATTGGTCAGCCGTGTTTACACTATAGATACATTTATGTACAAATGGCACCGCTACTTACGGGGCTCGGACTATACGTATTTGCTGGATAATTGCTTCGCCAGCTCCGTATACTTGAGAAACTTTGAGTGCGGGCTCTCCTCCAGAGGAGAAGTCGCCGCCTGAGAGGGACTTCCATTCGCTTGCGGAACAGGTGGAGACTTTCTCTGCGAACTGGGTGGTGAAGATCCGCTATGGGTACTAGCTCCGCCTGAGGATGGTTGACTCGCCGCTAACGCTGCCGCAGCTGCTGCAGCTGCCGCCGCGGCAGAACGTCCAATCGTCAACGGATCAGGGATCATGCCGTCTTTGACGAAATGCATCTTCGACAAGTGATGCCTGTATGCGCCTTTAGAAATGAATGGCGTGTCGCAAAATGCGCATTTCATGATAGAGTCTGCAGTGACCACTGCGTCGTTGCAGGCCCAACTGAAGGCCAAAATCGCTCCGGGAGTTGGCCCCGCTCCTTGGCTGGAAGTTGCCGTACTAGTGCTGCCACTTGCGTGTTGCTGAGACGAACTGTGCCCAGACCTCGACCCACTGGCTACTGATGGGCCGCGTGTTTCTGTCTTGTCGCAAAGTTTCTGCAAAGCTGCCAACGGATGACTGCTAGTTTTGCGCCCCTGGGTCTCAGAATTGCCTCCTGTGCCGCCCCCACCCGAAAGGCTGTCGAACATCGAGGACAAAGCACCTAGACTACTAGAAGTTTTGGTGTCAGGAGTACCACGAGGTGTCACCGAACGATCGCTGCTAGCTGGACTGCTCGTACTATTCCTGCAAGGACTGCGCGCCACCTGGTTGTGGGACTGCTCCCCAGTGCCGGTGGATCGTGGGGTTGGCGGGTTCAACTGGGGGGAAGGTTCCCTGGGTTCTTCGGAAGCAGTCTCTGTATTATTCTGCCCGTGACAATTGTAAGGAGTCGTTGGTTCTTCTTCATCTCTTGAATCCTCGACTTCTTTTTTGACAACAACTTCTCTGGGCGGCTCTTCTTCAGGAGCAGACGGCTCAGCGTCTTCATCCTTAGGCTCTTTTTTGACAACGACTTCCTCATCGCCAGATTCCTCGGGAACTGAATGCCTGCTTGGCGTCGTTTGTTTTTCCGGTGAACGATGACGATGAGACGAAGAAGCAGAGGAATGTCTGTCCTGGTTGACAGAAAGGTCCAGCCGTCTTTCGGGAGTCATCGTGTCGGTGCGAGTACTTCCCCGTTCCGATATCGAACTGGATTCACTGCCACTTCTCTCTCGTCTCGCTGCTATCGCGGCAGCATTATATTGCTGCTGCTGATAGCTCCTGAGGAGGTTCATCGTCTGCGGATCGACCAGCGGCTTAGTGTAGTCTACGCTTTCGTCAATTCCCAAACGTTTGAGAATACTGGATCCAATCGGCGCCCCAGGCTGATTATGATGATGCCCAGTACCTCCATGACGACCTCGAGAATCAAAGCTTTTTTCAATCAACTTCTCGATAGCATTTAATACCGACGGTGAAGATGTGGTAGTTGACTCGTTGGCACTGGGAGTTGGAGTATCTTTCCCCGGAGTAGTGGTGTCACTCGCAGAAGAGGGAGATCGATGATGTCGGGAGGAGACTGAGGAGGCGTCTTCATTGACACTTTTCCGGCCGCTCTCAATGACGGGTAACACTTGGGACATGTTATTCGACATCAGCGCGGATTTCAAGAAGTTACGCTGGTTTATTCCAACGGTGCCAGCACCGATGCACTGCCGTATGTGCTCCACAAGCACAGACGTTTCTATCTTGTCCCCGCACTTTTCACAAGTTATTCGACTAGGGTGCTTCACTAAACTGTGTGCTAATCCAGTTGTAGTATCTCCGTTCTTGAATTCATTCTGCGCCCGCTCAAGCTCCAACAATTTCCTCACTGGCAGGGACTTTTTCCTTTTCTCGCGAGTCTGTCTTCGACGCCCGCCACTTTCGGTTATCGAACGCATAATGTGTTCCTTGTAGTGAGAATTCTTCACCATATGATTGCTCAGTTCTTTCAGCGAACTGAACGCCTGGTCACATACTTTGCAAGTCAACACCGCGCTGACATGGCTGCTGGTAGCTCCACCTACACTTCCAGGACCTCCAGGAGTACTTCCATGCTGTCCACCACTAGGTGGCATTCCACTTCCAGGACCTGTTCCACCGCTTCCCATTCCGCTTCCAGGACCGCTGCCTCCCTTGCCGTCATCAGATGACTTCCACGAGATTATTTGCTCCTGGGAAATAATGTTGGTGTAGTGCTGAGTCTGCTGCATATGCGAGGTCATCTCCGCCAAGGATCGGAAGCTTTGCCCGCACCACATACACTTGAGAATCTGCCTCGTCTGCTCTGCGCCCTTCCCCAACCAAACATCCTGTCCTCTAACAAGTTTCCTTGGAAGAGGCATTGTCTCCTTGATCAGCAAATTCAATTCCGATGGACTCTGTTTACTGGGTGTCGTGTGGCTATTGTTGCTGCCACTTCCGGAGCTATTTAGTGATTGATGTTGATGTTGATGTTGTTGCTGTTGCTGTTGATGCTGCGAAGTCGGAAGCGATTGCAGATTAGAAGCGTGAGAATGTAACCCTGATGGAGGTGGTACCGGCATGTTGACTCCGCAATGCTTGGCTTCTTTCATGTGCGTGGTCATTGCCGCAAGAGTCGGGAAACTCTGTTTGCACCACACACACTTGAGGACGTCTTTAGCCTGATCAGCGCCTTTGTTTAGCCAATGGGACTGCCAAGCACTGTGACGGCTTCCTGAAGCACCACTGGGCGTGCTCCCAGTGGAACTTCCACCAGATCCTACGCCACCGGTCGGCCTGTAGAGTTCATCTCCACCAAGTTTGCTGAGCTCGCTCATTTTCTCTAGCGCCTTGGTGGCTTCGCTAGGTTGGTACGGTTTGTCAAGTGCTGCTGGAGGCTTCATTTTCCCGTTCCATAACTGGTGATGGTCGACAATACCCGGCGTGCTCTTGGGGGAAAGCTGTTGCTGACTAGTAGCCGCCGCAACTGCAGCAGCAAAGTATGGAAAGTGAGATGCTACGACGGGGGAACTCCAAGGTGAGACAACCGGCGGCCTACCGAAGGCACCTGCTGATGCAGATTCTTGGTGTGCTGAAGCTATCGTTCCAAGTCTTGACGACTTCCGCGGAGGTGGAGGCGGGGAATCTTCCTCGTGAGTCGGTCGTTTTCGACTGGAAACCGAGAGATCAAGGGGCCCATTGTTCGTTTCGCTGGAAGACGAGGGTGTAGGAGGTTTGCTCAGGTTAAGAATGTGCTCTTCTTCATCTTCGGATGAAACTTTCCGCGTGCTAAAATCCAGGACTCCAGGGAGTGGAGTCGCGGTGGGCGACACATCGCCACTTGTGGGTGAGACGAGAAGACCAGGAGTCGCGGCAGGAGGCGAACACGAGGAGGTGACAAGGGGAGATACTGAGCCTCTTGCTGAGAGCGGTGAGTGGCCCAGTAACAGTCGCTGGTGGGTTTGTTGGATGTAGGCCGCCATCACGGCCGCGGAATGCGAAGGCAGTAGAGGGTGTCCTGCCAGAGGCACTATACTGCCGGGGCTGAGTGGACTCGCACTACTGCGATTCACCAGAGGCGGGGGACTTCCAGCTGCAGGTCCAGATGATTCCCTAGAGTCTCTTGAGGGGCAACGTGGACTCATTGGCTCCCTAGAACAGAAATTCAATTATCTTTTAGGCAAGTTTATTTTGATGATCGAACAGGGAGTATTTATTTTGCTAACGAACTCAGTAAGTAATTTTTTTATTGATAATGATTGACAGGTTGAATACATAAGTATGCATAAGTTAAAATATGTTACTTCAACTATCTTTAAAAGTAATATGGTGGTGTACAATCGACTGACAATTGAAACGCCCAGGTTTTGAATTTGACAAGAGAATAATACATTTGACGATGATTTGTGATTTTTTTGGGCACATACACAAGAAGAAAAGATTTACAGTAACCCAGAAATGTATGATCTTCACAAATTTATTTCTTTAGTCGATAAAAGTGCATTTTTAGTTTAATAAAATAGTTAAAAAAAAAAAAAAAAACTAGAACACATATTTAATATGATTAGGCTAACAAGATACTTTTGCGGACTTATTCAAAAAGTGGCGCTGCTCTCGACTAAAGGGTTAAAAAAAACTTTACTTTCAAGTTAAAATTTTTAATATGAAAAAAATATATTTGGTTTAAGATAGCTTTTTATGAGCTTGATGTATTTACTTCATTTCATTACTGTACACAACACGTTTAAGCAACCTTAGAATTGAAATTAATACTTAATAATTGCTAAATATAAAATATAATATGACCATAAACGATCAGATATGTAAATATCAAACTTTTTTCCAAGATATGTACACATGGATGTGTACGGTTATGAATATTTAATAATGATAAGTCTCTGAAAACACGCGACATACACGGTAGTACAGCAGCCGATAATTACAAATCATCGTATGTTTAATGAAATATAAGATAGCAATAAATAAGAAATATATGAATATGACTATAAATATAAATATACCTGTTATACTACCGTGAGAAAGCAGTAGTGAGGTGGTGTGGTGTATCTTAAGGCGGTGGGTGGTGAAATACGGAAACATGTGAATAATCACTTGACGTAAGAGGACACGTGTTATTATATACTGTATATGAATAGCGGACGGCACTGGTATAGTGTGTGTGCGTGTGCGTGTGTGTGTAAGTGGGTGAAACTAGTGGCTAGTGGCTAGTGGCTAGAGCCACTAAACCTGTCGACGGCGCGTTGGTAACTGACTCCCCTGATTCTGACTCTGACTGAATGTTGAATGTTGAATGCGCGTGCAACGAGATGAAAGGGAACCACCGGTACGCATGCAGGGGAAGTTTTTGGGGTTCTGAGGTGAGGTGGGGGCTAAGGAGGGTAGACCTGAAGGTGGGGATGGGGATGGAGAGAATATTCAGAGCTGCCGACAGACATAACACTACTACTAGCGAGTGCGAGAGGATGAGAGGTGAGAGACGGGTAGTAAACACGCGCCTATCTCTATTAGCTGAGTGACGCCGGTACGCGGCAACTGCTTGAAAATCTCTCGCTCCTTTTATTTTGTTATATCGGGCATGTTTATCCCCGTGCCGTGTAAACGGAGATTTGTTATACGGTGAGGATTCTACTAATTTATATTACGATATACAATTAGAACAGCTTGCGGGAATCAGAGCCAGACAGAGATTGTGACGGCCCGCGATCACAACACCGAACAATCTTCAAAGGATCCTTCAGTTTGTTTTTTATTGCTGTTTGTTTTTGTTATATGTATTTACGTTATTTATGCGTTTATTACTCTCACAGGTGTATATTATGATAAGATTTTTTACTTATTTAATTTCGCGGCTTTATTGTTGTTATTATTTTAGTTTTAAAATTTGCGAAACTGCCTTCATGGTGTAAATATCAAAAATAGTATAAATTTAACGTTTTGCCATTGAAACTTCAAGCGGAATAATGGAGAAAAATTTATTTTAAAAAAAGTAGGAAATTAAACATTTAAATAAAAACGTTTTTCAGTTTAATTGTCGATAAGTTAATGATTCTTTAAAAAAAAAAAAAAAAAAAATAACACAATTTTTTTCATGTTTGCGATTTGAATAAAAAAAAATTATAGAGAAAAAATTAAATTACCTGTCGGGAGGTCCAGTATCTCGGAGGGCAATAGGATTTAACCTTGATGAGACAGAGGGCGGGGGCGTTGATGGACTAGGTGCTGAATCTTCGTCATCAGTAGCGTCAGCTTCGTCATCCTCTTTGGCTGCTGCTGGTGGGCAATTTCTTTCATTGGGACTAATAGGGCCATCCTCATCTACACATTCTCCTTCTTCAGCCTGGAGCTCCGTACCAGGTCCCGAACCTTCGATACCGTCTTCCCCTGGAATCACAAAAATAAACAACATAAATCACTGATTTGCCGTTGTCATTGCTGGGAGTTATAATTTAAGTGCATTCATAAATGTCAACGGTTTACATTTGTAATGTGTAAGTATGAGAGCATGATAAATGTGAGGATCCAAAAGGAAATTCAAGACATCATAAGTATAAGTATAAGAGAGTGTGCCACCTGGTCGAATAGTAAACGCAGGATGATATAAAGGTGCAGATGCCGAGCAACAATGACGCTATCGGTTCATTTATCAGCCTTTCTGGCATACCAGTACATCGAGTACTGAAACGCGTCACTACAGAGTACCAGGGTCCACGACAGTATCCATTGTTAGTGCAAACTTGTTCCGCAATGGGTATTATGAGTTTTAATCAAATAATTTCCATTTCATCTTTCGTTTCTCATCACAACCTCCATTATTGACAATGTTTCTACCTATTACGATCCTTATCAACATCATTTTATTTATTTTTCTGAATATTCCTTCTTAGTTTATTTCTGTTGTAATAAAAATAATTTAATGTTAAATATAAAAAAATGAGTTTAAGCTAAGCCCGAATCACGCTAAGAGAACAAGCGAGTCGCTTAGCGGTGTCAGTGATTTACGAGTGAGCATTGGGATCGAATGCCGTGCAAGACGGAGGTGAGACATTGGACAGGTGCTAGATGCAAATAAGCCTCTCTGGCTCTGATGCCCAAGAACCAGGATCGTGGGGACGAGACCAAGAATAAAATGAGCTGAACCCGGACACGGTGAGACAACGCCGAGAAAACCAACAACACGCAGTTTAACCGCCATCTTGCATAGTACGTATCCTTTTTAAAGGACAAAAAAAATAAGAACAAGAGAAAAAGATAGAGAAAGAGATGTAGGAGAAAGAATAAAAATAAAGTACGTTGGAAAGAAAAGGGACAGGTATAGGGAGTGTCGGTTGTGCTTCTACGATAGCAGAGGGTGTAAGAGTTTGTCCAAGAGATGAGGAACCGGGCGGGGAGGGTGGTACCAAGATCCAGCATCCCGCATCCTCCTTTTTACCACCAATACTCGCTAACTGGCCAACCAAGGATCGTTTGTTCATGGTCCACCGAGGAAGAGGGAGAGAAAGGAGATCGCACATTGATCCGTCCGGGCATCGGCAACTAATTACGCAGATTTATGTCCCCATTGTCCATTGTCTCTGCTCGGGCTGAAGCTCGAGAGAGATCCTCGAAATAGCGTTGTAAGAAGGAGACGAGAAGAAAGAAAGACACCGAGACCGAGTTCTCGAGGACGAACAAGTAAAGGGAATACGAAAAGGTCCGAGGAGATCCATGGATCAAGAACAAGACCGAGAGGACTCGAAAGCTCTGGGCTCAGCAAGAGTTGGATGGAGTGAGGCCCAGGGCGGACCACCGGCGGACAGCCCCGCCCGTTTCTTCTGGCGTAGCCCCCTGGCCCTGGCTGCTGATATGTACACATTGGCTCCAACTAACTTCAATTCTTTGACGTTTTATTAGACTTTTAGGTTGTTTTCTGCTTAATTTTTTTCCCACGAAGAGCATCTAAGCGCGTGTGACGCCCGTTTAAACCAACACTCTTTACAAGTGGCTGCAAGACGCACTCAATCCTCCGACTGACACCTGGTGATTTAGAAGGCACACCGTGGATCGGGTGGCAGTAGTTCTCGGAAACCCAATCACCTCTCTCGTTATTTATTTTAGCTGCTGGTCAAACATAGATACATCTGAACTGTTGTATCCAAGGTCAGCAAGACGCCGAAGAGCCTAGCGATGATCAGCCGATTAGTAGGAGAAAGACCGGTAGGGTTCAAATGCAAAATAACCACGACCTAAGGATTGCTAGCCACTAACAAGAACGGTTCTTGTCTCGGTTCCTCTTCAACCAGTGCTGAAAGGTACCAACACAAATACCAATACTAGTACTAGTTCAAAAGAACAAGAACTTGTGGTGTATTCGAGCTCTGACACTCGAGAAGATCGCTGCAGCAAGATATCATCCACCGCTACTGCTCTCAACTCGGTCAACTGGTTACCCACTAGTTACTGCTTACTGGCTTCGCTACCTTTTCCCTCTTTATCTTAATTCTTTAACCCTTATACCTTGTGTACTACCTTTCTTCTATTTGCTGCAATATATAGACTACAACATGCTGATGGCGTACTACTGAGTATTGCGATTATTATTCTGGTTAAGGGCCTTTTTCTCGCTCCAGGAGGGGGACCACTGCACAACAATAATTAGTCTTATCTTTCGGGTACTTTTCTAAGGTTATACGTGTAACGATTCCCTTTGGTTAGCTAGCTCACGACAAACATAAGCACGACCCGCGGATATATGCAGATAATAGGAAAATACAACCTCCGGCTTTACTCCACCAAAAGGATATCTAATAACAAGTCAGTCAAAGGACGTCACGAATAAGACGATAGAAGCATCAGCTGCAGTAGGAACAGCAGAAGCTTCAGAGGGATGGAGCGAATTTGAGATGCAAGAACAGATCTGAAGGAATGACGGACAGACACTGGTTGTTATAGGCAATGGCGAACAGCATCCCGAGGATGAGATGAGATGAGATGAGATGAGGAAGAAATGCCGGGAGATGGACAGACAGCTACACGGACAGAACGATCAGTAGAAGAACGGGAAAGACGAAAGAAACGAAGATCAGCATTGTGAATTGTGATTCTCTCGTGGCCTGCCACTGACTGACTGACGGGTGAATCCCTTCTTCTCTTTCTTCTTATTTTTTATCTTCTTCTTCTTCTGTGTCTTCGTCTTCATCTACTTAATCTTCTCTTTCTGACCAACAGCTATCGGATAAACGTATTTTGAATGTCGATAGACGGACAGCAGACTCATCCAAGTCATCGATCTACATCTACACATCATCAGTATCGTGGGCGTGTGCAAGTATTTGAATTCCTTCTCCTGTTGTATGCACGTGGGTGTACACATGCATAGTTACCATTGTACACGGTATTCAGTGGTAGAGGTAGAGTGAACCCAAGGTCCATATAAACTAGTCTACCTGGCTGATTGACCGATGGGAAGGCCGTTATCCCAAGTCAACACTCACTCCATCAGTTGGACGTGTATCTTGCCTTAAATGTTATATATAAAGTAACTCTGTCGTATTTCTCTCCATTCAACCACCCCGCATTATTTATCACATTAAAGAGACGTGAAAATTTAATTTACAAATTCAAAGCAATATTGACTTTGGAATACAGATGTTTCTTCACTACAAGAGACAGGTTAATATTCACGGTAAATCTCTGATAGAAGACAATGTACCACATTTGTTTTTTGAGTAGAAGATATTGTGGAAAATTTGCCACACTTGGACACAATTTTCAATTTCAAGATCGACAGCTTTTGAAAGCACCAGTCTCGTAAGAATCCAACATGCCCGATTGCTTTTTCTTTACCCCGGTACATGAAAGAATAAAGAGACGTCGATATACAGACGTACAAGCACACATACATAACCAAAGTTGTTGTTATATTGGGATAAGAAATCAGTGACATTTCACCGGCGTTTAAATTTGTCGACTATTTGGGAGTTTTAACGTATACATCGCTTACCAAACCGATTCAAGAATCCGAGTGTCAACTCGACAGTGACAGTAATAAATAACATGGCAAGTAAGTTGCTCTTCTGAACACCACCGGCAACAGAAACGCCAGCAGTGGCACGTGGGATCATTTGTTAAAGATTTTGAGCTTTATTCGAAGCTCGAGGCGCGCTAACATTTTATACACACAGATATAAGGAGTATAGGATGTACGCACTAGCAAGTTGCCGAAATGTGTTGGTGCATCGGAATTACGTAGCTGTCGTAATAGTAAAGACCAACGTGCACTAAGGTAGATATTTGTTCCTTTACGTTTTCTCTCTACTCGTTTTCTTCTTTTTAGTTGATTCTTTCTCAGCTAAAAGTATAAAGTGGGGGATGACGAAGCGGCAAACGGGTCAAAGTGACGGTGAGTGATGGACAGGAACTCACTCCGGAGACAAAGACCGATGGAAAGAGAGCGTGAAAGTGCAGTCTGAGTGTCGGGTGTGAAGAACGACGTGCTGGATCTTCTATAACACAGCTTGTCCGTTTCAATGACAATAATAAATATCTATATCTATATTTATATCTTTGAGTATTTCAAATTTTATTAATATTTTTTTTATTATAATTAAGTTATTGCTTATTGTATGACAGGCTTTCAGGATGACTAATAAAAAGCACCCGAAATATATCGATAATACATACACAATATTGTGTGCCACGGACATTTTAAAAGATAAATCACCGTCAGGCAACGCTTGAGACGTCTACAGAAGTCGTTGGACGGCTAATAGCTCAACTGGCTTCTGCGTTTGCCATTGCCATTCCCATCATCATCATCATCATCATCATCATCGTCATCAGCAGCATCATCATCATCATCATCAAGGAGCAGCTCGAGAAGCATCTGAATAATCACGGTGTATTAATATACCTCGGCACATATATAGACATGTAGGTACGGCGATAATACGCCAGGAGAAGCAAATCCGGTGACTGGATGATGGATGAACCATACGTTGGTTCGTCTAAATGCCTGCTGGACAGCTCAGTGCTACGAGACACTGATGATCGATGTATGCTCCTTAGTGAGGTGAAATCTGGGAACTTGTTTCGCCACCACCGATAAGCTGGTACCCGGTAGCTGGCTGCTCTGTCGACGATCCGGATGACGTTCCAACAATTAATGACGATAGGATGTGTTATAAACAAATATACATCTCGCGAAGCTGAAGTTACAATTAAAGACGCGTCTGGCCTCGATAGACACGAGTATGACTATCGGCTCCAGTAGCAGGTGTCACGTAGACAAGAACCGGACGCCAAAGAAGAAGAAGAAGAAGAAGAAGAAACCCGTGGGATGCCAGTGTACTGTGCAAAACGAGAGTAAAGGACAGTAGGAATGGAGGGAAGCTGTGACAGTAGAGAATGCCTTCATCACGATGTCCGTCA